TTTTGTTTCTCTCTTTTCCTGACAGTTTAGAATACATTGTATGTCAGCATTGGAAATCGCTTTTCGTGTCACCTACAATTGACATTCGTGCAACGTAATAAGTTCCGCTTCGAGTGTTAATCTGTAGCAAGCCACATGGTTTGTCTTTAGTTTCAGTTTTATTTGTGTAGCTTTTCTTAACCGTGGCGGTATGCGAGTCTTTAATTTTCCCTGTTAACAGCGACAATTACGAAGTAGCTCGACATCCATATTTAACAAGGGACTGCTTTATTTTACTGATCTTTCAGAGAAAAAGAGCCTGTGATGGTTTGCTAGTACGTCAGGCGCGACAAACTTCACTCGCCGGAGGTAAGTAGTTTGGCTTGTCTTTGACTAGTTCGGGAAAGGGATATATTTTTTCTGACCTAAAATGGCAAAAACTACATAATTACTTGAAGAGGAGCTTATCCTTTTTAGTTTCGTTAAGAGTTACTTATATGTATGAGATGATGGGAACAATATTATGTGTAGAGATTATTTGTTATTTCCTGAATCAGTAACCCGGAGAGTATAAACTATAAATAATTGATGACAAAATGAGAAGCATTTGTAAAAGAGTTGGCAGATTCGTCTATTCTGAAAAGTAAAGCGAATGTAGAGCGCAGACAATATTTCCAAGGAAGCTTTCAGTTATCGCGAACAATTCAATTGTTTCTGCAGCCTATTATACTTCAGTATACCTAAATACAGAGCGAGAACTGGAGCGTGGATTCGAGCTAGGATTCGAACCGGGACTTCGAATGAGGGCTTCTTTTGCTTATTACTAGAGGTTACAAATTCTAAGTAAAGTGCTGCGAGTAGACCCTGAGCATACTAAATCATAACGTATATGAATTTGTTATAATTTGGCTTACCAACATTTATAATATTTCAAGCAGTAAATTTATTGATTTTTTGGCCATTTACACCTGAATCACCCTCAATCTGGAAAAATGAGAATTTTCTATCCTACAGCAGCGTTATAAGTGCTGCCTTTGCTTTGCTGCTCTGATCAGAGAATAAATCGGTGTAGAAGACCTCAGTGGAACCGGCTTAATAAAGTGAACACGTTTTACTAGTTCCTTGGGCTTTCTTTGTATCGATGTTCCACTATAATCTCAACAGACCTATTTGGCTAACTCAATGTTGTACCCAATTCAAACCCTGGGAATAAAAAGTTTTGTTTCAGGAATTTCCCGCTTATCATTTAAATGTGAATGCCACGTTATAATGCAAATCAACACAACGAATCCTAACCCCGGGAGATTTGAATTCAGGGTACAACATTGAGTTGGCCAAATAGGTCTATTGGATGTACAGGTATTGTTTGGACTCTAAGAATTTCTTGTCTTGCTTTGTCAGTGCACCACTGCACACAAACCTGCAGCCAAGGAAATACATTTTTCGAGTTCACTTTCTTGACTGTTTAGTTTTCACTTGAAAAATGATCCTGACAGATTTCTTTGCCCGCTTGTTGAACTTTAAAGAGTTTAAATGTGGAGAAGATCCTAGCTGTTAAAGACGTAACTTATGCAGTTGCGGAAAGAAAGCCTGACAAAAAACGAAAAATTCAGGCTTGCCGGGATTCGAACCCTAACCTCTTGTAGTGGCAGATCCAGGGGGAGGGTCCGGGGGATCAGACCTGAAACTTGTTTGGGGCAGAAATTCTTACATCGACAGGATCGTATATTACTTTTTAGTATTCACCAAATCAGTGGATAGCAATTTTCGCGCCTTCTGATTGGCTCCCGTCACTCGGAATATCCTAATTTAATTCTAAAAGTTGCAAAAACTTTCGAGAAACTTTCTTTCGAGGTGTTGAATTAATTAGTGTTGAAGTGATATAGTCACGTGAAACGTGATGTCATAATGATATTCAAAAAGAAATTCAAAATTAGGTAGGAATGGTTGATTACAACTAAGTTTGAACCATGCGTAAATGTTTGTTTTACCGTACGAATTTTTTCCGTGGCCGGAACGGAGAGAATTTTTAATTTCTTAAATATATTAACAGGTGAAAAGTGTCACGTGACCTATTTTGCTTAATTACTAATTATATATAAAAAAGAGTCAGCCATTCCGGCCAGATTCAAGCAAGAAATGATGATGCAATAACAAAAATACTGTATTTATATATACTGTGTGGCATCTCGCCACCCCATTTTTAGTTTTCTTTTCTTTCCTGGACTCGACCATAAGTGGTCACGTGAGACAGATATCTGATTTCTTACGTTACAGGAAAATTAAGGTTACCAATTTTTCCGACGTTGCTAAATTTTGGAAGGTTCTGATAAATTTTCACAAAGTTATGATCATTATAAGGGTTTATGCATATTAGCCCCAGGCTATGCCTTACGGACTTTCTCTCTCCGGAAAACGGAGACTGAGGGTAAATTAATGTAATCTTAACCTCTTTTCTACGGACACTGCGGTGATCAGGTGAATCCCGTATCCTAATCAGGTAAATCTGCTCGGGGTGAATCTTGTCTGGTTGTTGAGCTATGCAAGGTGATTATAAAAGCCCAGTCACTGTATATCAAACAACGATTTGCGAAATGTGTAGGGAGGGATATAACCGACTATTTAAGGATTGAATAACTACAGATAGCATAAAGATCTTTTCAATTACATTTCGTTCTCTACTTACAGTTTACGGCACTAGCAAAATATCAAAAGACGCTTTCAGAATGGTGCTTGACGTTGCAACCTTGGAAATGCAGCATTGCGCTGTAGCGCGTTTCGTTTTAAAACAGTGACTTCATGCAGTTGTCTTCGACTGCACTTACTTTGTAGCTGATATATACAATGTTGTATGCTACTGAGAGACAGTGTCTTTGAACTGTGAATTAATAAATGCAGTTTAAAGACGAGAGTGAACCTGGTCTTAGCGACTAAACACTTAAAACAGCTGTAAGTGGAGTCATAAATGTGACGTCATCGTTCTCTCTAATACGGACTCTTCGCTCTATACCTTCCGTGTCCGTATTAGAGAGGTTCGACTGTATCGATTTCAGCCAGGGCTAAAAGCGAAGCTCTCGTTAATATCTAAAGTTAACTCAAACAAAATATAAAATCGTGTAACGCTAAGCGGAGACGGCAACAAAAACAGCCAAAACAATCAATAGGTCTAATTAGCAAAAAAGCAACTTACACGTACAGCACACTATTTTTGTATATTTCTTTGCTATTGTTTTGCACGACTACAACGTGAAACTTCCAGAAAGTTTTTGGTTACACGTTTTATGGAGGAAATGTTGTATGCGTTCCTGTTCACCTTTTTTTCGCTGCCTTTCATTTTCACCTTGGTGGCGGCTAGCATTTCTCATTTTCTCACCACCGCTATAAAATTTTCATATTATTCTTCCAACGAAATTGGTCTCCTTTCTTTTTTATCTCTCGCTCCAGCGCTTTCTCTGTTATCGACGTCAATGTAGACATTAAAATTAAGTAGAAACAAAGAATCGGCTTTGCTGTTGTTGTTTTTTATCTTTGAGAGTCCGGGTATCTATGCGATTTACCGCCGAAAAGCGCGCGTAATTAAAATGCAAAATTTCGCCCCGGCATACATGAAGGGGTGGACGTACGCACGTACACGTACGAACGATTTTCGCAAAACCAAAATTTCTTGGATGCATAGATAACCAAATTTTCTTAACCATGGCGTTCCGCTGCGCGCGCTTCGCACGCGAAAACTCCGCTACGAGTATGTATGGCTCATAGTATTTAGAATGAAAAGCCAACTGTCAGCAAGACTATTTTTAGACATCAAATCCAATGTTGCTCTACATCTAAAAGTTCCATTTAAGATAAAGAGTGAGAAAAAAATCAAGACTTAAAATTAAGGAGCTGACAAAAACTATAAAGCGCTATAAAAGATCTAATGGCAAATATTAGAAACAAAACTTAGACTGGTTGAGTAAAGATATCAAACAGCGTGGGGAATGAGTCTGATCAGGAGTAAGAGAGAACCTGGGTTCGCCCATTTTCAAAACTTGTGACTGAAATAGTTTTATTTTCCAGAATTTTTAACAGTACGGTGTATGATGGTAAACCCTAGGTTAAAAACTACTCTGTAAAACTATTTATTTAGATATTCTGAATTTACAGATTCAACAAGAATAAAATAGGCCAAAGAAATGATGGTCCAATTCCTATCAGATCGTGACCTCCCTCAGTAAATCTTACACGAAAGCTTGATTATCTGGCCTAAGAAGTTTTAACTGTTCAGTTAAAAAGAAGTTAACAATCTTGTTTCAACTTTCTTACTCTTATAATATTTTGTTCTCAAGGTTAAGAAAAAAGGGTCATGGACAGCATCTCGGAGATTCTGCAGACCATTCATATTGTTGTAGTCGTGGCAACTTTCCTTTTCAACACTGGACGTATTATAAAAGCAGTAGACATCTTTAACGAATGCTTGGTGCTCCTTAACGGTAAAGCCCTAGAGACAATAAAAGAACTTACCACTCCACTTGTTATCTATGTATACCATAAACTTGTTGATGGCTATACTCTTATGCACGATCACAGGCGCGCAATAGAATGTGGTAAAAAGCTTCACGTAACACTACACAATAGTGGTCAAAAAGAAAAAGAAGGGATGATATTACTTAAACTAGCTCACTTCTACTCAAACAAGCAAATACGAGGAAGCAAAAGAGTTTTACGAGAAGGCACCCAGCATAGCGATTGACACTGGAAGCAATCGTGGAGTTGGAATATGTTACGGAAATCTAGGAATTGTGTTTAAAGCTGTTGGTCAATTTACCAAGGCTGAAGAATATCTTCAGAAAGCACTAGTGATAAGAAAAGAAATCGGTAACAAAGAAGGAGAAGCATCTACTTATGGAAATCTAGGAACTGTGTTCCTATCTGTTGGTCAATACAACAAGGCTGAAGAATATCTTCAAAAAGCACTTGTGATCAGGAAAGATATCGGTGACAAAGACGGAGAAGCGACAGATTACGCTAATCTAGGAACTATGTTTTACTCAGTTGGTCAATATACCAAGTCTGAAGAGTACCTTCAGAAAGCACTAGTGATCAAGAAAGAAATCGGTGACAAACAAGGAGAAGCATGTATTTACGGAAATCTGGGAGTTGTGTTTACATCTGTTGGTCAATATACCAAGGCTGAAGAATACCATCAGAAAGCACTAGTGATCAGGAAAGAAATCGGTGACAAAGAAGGAGAAGTGTCAGATTACGGAAATCTAGGAACTGTGTTTCAGTCAGTTGGTCAATATACCAAGGCTGCACAATACGTTCAAAAAGCACTAGTGATGAGAAAAGAAATCGGTGACAAAAAAGGAGAAGCGACAGACTACGGAAATCTAGGAAGTCTGTTTCAATCTGTTGGTCAATATACCAAGGCTGAAGAATATCTTCAAAAAGCACTAGTGATAAATAAAGAAATCGGAGACAAAAAAGGAGAAGCGTCAGACTACGGAAATCTAGGAACTGTGTTTCTATCTGTTGGCCAATATACCAAGGCAGAAGAATGTCTTCAGAACGGCACTAGTGATCAGGAAAGAAATCGGTGACAAAGCAGGAGAAGCATCAGATTACAGAAATCTAGGAACTGTGTTTGTATCTGTTGGTCAATATACCAAGGCTGCAGAATGCCTTCATAAAGCACTAGTTATAAATAAACAAATCGGTGAGAAAAAAGGAGAAGCATCTGCTTACGGAAGTCTAGGAACTGTGTTTCTATCTGTTGGTCAATATACCAAGGCAGAAGAATACCTTCAGAAAGCACTAGTAATCAGCAAAGAAATCGGTGATAAAGAAGGAGAAGCGTCAGATTACGAAAATCTAGGAAATGTGTTCCTATCTGTTGATCAATATAGCAAGGCTGAAGAATACCTTCAGAAAGCAATAATGATCAAGAAACAAAATGGTGACAAACAAGGAGAAGCATCTGCTTACGGAAATCTGGGAGCTGTTTTTCAATCTGTTGGTCAATATACCAAGGCTGAAGACTACCTTCAGAAAGCACTAGTGATCAGGAAAGAAATCATTGACAAACAAGGAGAAGCATCTGCTTACGGAAATCTAGGAACTGTGTGTTAACGTGTTGGTCAATATGCTAAGGCAGAAGAATACCTTCAAAAAGCACTCTTAATCAGGAAAAAAATCGGTGACACAAAAGGAGAAGCGTCTGACTACGGAAACCTAGGAACTGTGTTTCTAGCTGTTGGTCAACATTGCCAGAAATTAGGGACAAGATGGCGGTTGCGCGTGCGCACTAAGGCCACAATGGCTGCGAATTCGTATAAGAAAATGTATGGAGATAAGGAAACTTTTTCAAATATATCGATTATGAGCTCACGGGTGTTCGGTGCCCGACTCGAAACATGTTAAGTGCTGTGTAACCCTCGCATCTGGGTTAAAAATAGCTAATTAGAAGTAGGTTTACTTACTTCCTGACGTGGCCACTTTTATTCCTTGTTGTACGCTCCATTTCTCCATACATTGTCTTAAAATCTTGCCGAAGTCATGCGAAATACTCGTCGATTAGAGGATAAACCCTTCACTGAAGTAAATTTGCCCGACTCGATATCACTTCTGCGATGGAAGATGTTTCCAAAACAGTCGTTAAAAGGACGATTTTTGCACTGCAAAATACTTCCAAAGGCGCATTATTTCCCTCAGTTTTCCATCTGTAGTCCAGTAATGGACGCCATGGTTGCGAATGACACATTTCGGTCGGACACAGCTTCACAACTCCAAACCCCACAGAATCGCCATTTTGTTTGTTGCTACAACTCCAGAGATGCTTCACGGGATATAAACTAGGTTCCAGGCATTCAAAATCCTCGATTAGCCTACCAGGCTTGGTTTTAAAACAAAATTGTCACGAAAATGTCACGAAAGGTACATCCGCGTACTGTTTTGTTGCTATCAGCCGCTCGGCCGCGTATAAACCTAACATTTTCTTGCAAGGTGTTTAATTCCAGCTTTTTTCTTCGTAAAACAGATCCACAGAGCTCAAATTATTTAAAAAATCGCAGGGGATACGCTTTCCCTGACTACGATAGTTTTTGTCCGCCATTTTAAAAATGAGATTCCGCTGACAATTGATCACGGGCGCGAAATGTCCACGATTTCTGGCAATGTATACCAAGGCAAAAGAATACCTTCAGAAAGCACTAGTGATCAGGAAAGAAATCGGTGACAAAGAAGGAGAAGCATCTGATAACGGAAATCTAGGGGCGGTGTTCCAGTCTGTTAGTCAATATACCAAGGCAGAAGAATGCCTTCAAAAAGCCCTAGTGATCAGGAAAGAAATCGGTGACAAAAAAGGAGAAGCATCAGACTACGGAAATCTAGGAACTGTGTTTCAATCTGTTGGTCAATATACTAAGGCGGAAGAATACCTTCAAAAAGCACTAGTGATACATAAAGAAATTGGTGACAAAAATGGAGAAGCATCTGATTACGGAAATCTAGGAACTGTGTTTCGAGCTGTTGGTCAGTATACCAAGGCTAAAGAATACCTTCAAAAAGCACTAGAGATCAGCAAAGAAATCGGTGATAAAGAAGGAGAAGCGTCACATAACGGAAACCTGGGAATTGTGTTTAAATCTCTTGGTCAATATACCAAGGCAGAAGAATACCTGCAGAAAGCACTGGTGATCAGGAAAGAAATCGGTGACAAAAAAGGAGAAGCGAACGACTACGGAAATCTAGGAACTGTGTTTAAATCTGTTGGTCAATATAACAAGGCTGAAGAATATCTTCAGAAAGCACTGACGATCAATGAAGAAATCGGAGACAAAAATGGTGTTGGAGCTTCATACTTAAATCTGGGAAATCTTTGTCGAGAATTTCAGCTTCACGCGAAGAGTCAAGAATTTACTAATAAAGCACTTCAGACAAGTTACGAAATAGGGGACATTGAAATGCAGTTTAACAGCCACCTTGCCATTGCTCTGAACGCGTTAGTGGCAGGAGGAAGCATAAATGAACTACTGCAAAATCTATTTGAAAGCATTCAGAAGTGCGAAGAAATGCATGATTTTTCAAGAGTGAAAGATCAATTCAAAATTTCTTTTTTTGATGAGCATGTGTCCCCTTACCTTCTTCTTTGTAGGTTGTTGATTGCTACAGGTAATTATCATGAAGCCCTTTACGTTGCCGAGCTTGGACGGTCCAGAGCGCTGACAGACGTACTTTCAGAAAAGTACTGTGTGGATAAAGGGGTATCAGTCAACACACAGTCATGGATTGGTATTGAGAACATCATGAAAAAAAATGCACTTAGTTCTTGTCTTTATGTTTCCTGCTTCGATGATGAAATGTACTTTTGGATCCTCAAGCCAAACAAAAAATAATAGATTTTCGAGAAAAGACACTCCAAGAACGTGCAGATAAAGTGTTTGGAAATCAGACATTTGGTGGCTCTCTTGATTTACATCAAGACCATTGCGAAGATCGATCATTGTTTTCATGTGTAAGCTCCCCGCCACCATGCAAACCATCTCAGAGTGACAGCTTCGAATCTTTGCGTGCTATGGAAGAAGAGGAAGACGAAAATCTCGACTCGAAACCTTTAACCCTTGCTGATGGTTACAACATGATAATCGCTCCTGTGGCTGACTTACTCCAAGAATCAGAAATCATTATTGTGCCGGATAACTTGTTGTATCCAATTCCTTTTGCAGCTTTAATGGATGATAATGGAACGTATTTATCGGATACTTTCAGGATTCGTATTGTCCCTTCCTTGACGACTCTTAAGTTGATTCAGCTCAGTCCAGAAGACTACCATAGTAAAACCGGTGCACTGATCGTAGGAGAGCCAGACGTTAGTGATGTATACTACCAAGAAAAACTTCTACATTTAGACCCACTGCCTTGGGCGAGAGAGGAAGCAGAGATGATTGGGCGACTGCTTGGTGTTCAACCGTTGCTTGGAAGGGATGCAACTAAGCAGGCAGTCCTGGAAAGAATGCATTCGGTAAGTCTCATTCACTTCGCTGCTCATGGTGATGACAAACGTGGAGAAATAGCTCTTTCCCCTATAAGCTCCTGTGAAACTCCACACGAAGAAGACTACTTATTGACGATGGCTGAAATTTCACAAGTTCGACTAACAGCCAAGCTGGTTGTCCTTAGCTGCTGTCATAGTGCAAGTGGTCAGATAAGGGCTGAGGGAATTGTTGGAATCGCTCGAGCATTTCTAGCATCGGGTGCACGCGCCGTGTTGGCGGCCCTGTGGGCTGTAGATGACAAAGCTACCATGTGGTTTATGAACCATTTTTACGAGCACCTTGTTCATGGTGAAAGTGCCAGTGAATCTCTTCACCAGGTCATGAAGTCGATGAGAGAGAATGGGTTTTCTGACGTCAAGCAGTGGGCACCCTTTATGCTGATTGGAGATGATGTAACATTCAAAGGTTTGTATTTAATATAATTTTTAGGTTTTTGTAGCTGTTTTTGGTCAAAATATGTGAAATTAATATTCGTGAAAACGCATTATTTTCAAAAATAGTATTAAGGGAGTTATACTGAGTTTTGTTAGTTTCTTTATTTGTTTGTTTTTCTTTTTCCAACCCTAGTCATGAAAGTGAGGCAACTCGAGAGAAGGCCGAATTTTATTTTCCGATTTTCATTGAATATTTCGTAAAGCATGCATGCTCGGATCTAAAATAACTAACTAAAATAAAAATGTAGAAAACGATAGTTGAGATTCCAAAGAGCATACGAAAACAATTTAAGTCATAGAGAAGAGAAGTAAGTGGCTGTCCAGCAAACTTTTTCTTAAGGTTGTACCTGAGGAAAGAAAAACGTAGGCTATTGCACTGCGCTCCGAGACAGTCGGTTCGCGAAATTGAGAAAGCGCGAACAGGAAAATAAAACGCCCCCGCCCCTTTTCTCATATTCACGCAGTCGTACTTTTGCACGCCTTTCACCGCGTCATCCCCACTATCTGAGAACCCGGAACAGGCTATAAAAAACGCTCCATGTATCTTTCAGGGACAGCTCAGAGGTTTTACGTACTAATTGCTGGTGGGCGAGAGTTTAAAAGCAGATGGAACGATTCCCTCGGTACTTAATCTAGCCCAAGCAGCTGCAGGAGCATTTTATTTTGAAACTTCTCTTTTATGCAGATATTTTTCTGGAAAATGAGCTAAGGGCAACTTCATTGTCGTTTTCGTGTGTTCTGAAAACGAGGTTCAGTTTTGTCATCAATCGCCTCTTTTATGATGCTTGTTTCGAGGAGAAGTCGAAAGATTTAATATTTCCCCAAGACAGTATTTCATTCGATTCAATTGGGTTTTACAATACGTTTCGCTTTAGTTCTCTTCGTAGTCGTGATTTTGTACCAGAGGAGATGGATGATATTTTGGGCAACCATTGCACTCGCGCTGCAAGGGATAGCATGGTTGGTTTGATATCAATCTCCTGCTTCAAGATATAATCTGATCAGTATACAAACAGCAAACGCAGGAAATTAAAATAAAGTGAAATATTCTCACTGCATACATTATTGGCCCGTGGCGCGGGAATTAAGTAATTTCGTAAATTCCGTAGTGTTGGGCCTGCGCGCTGGTGGCATGATTCATTAGGGACCTTCGTTAGAACTGCTTAGTTTTTGCCCGCCTCTTGGCTAGTTCAACGCAGGTTAGTGGAAATGACTTGGAAATTTCGCCTCTCCCACCTCCCCTGGTGGCGGTTGACGTCGCTAACCCTCATTATTTGGCATGCCTAATGTCCTGGCAGTCGCGGTTGCCTCCCATAACTTAGTTCCCCCATGTCGGAACAATAGGTATGCAGTGCGAAAATTATACGAATCGCATTTAAGCTGAAAGTGATACAATACGACTTAACTAAGCTTTTAGCATATAACTAATTTCCTCGAATTGTAAAGGTTTGCTATTTGTTTAAAAAAAATCTGTGTTAGAGACATTTAGGTAAAACATTTAGCGCAACGAGCAACGGAAGCATGTTGATCGATGGCTAAAATAAATCGTGCAAAGAATTTAAACGGAAGTGAACCGTCATGATTAGTTTTTCTATTTGCAGGTGCATTTGATAAGAGCAGTTTGAAAGATGGCGAAGGTGCAACGGAAACAAAGAACCTGTAAGCTGAGAGGAAACATGTTGTTTGAGTTGACAACTACCGTCACAGCTGTACATAAATGTATATACCACGGATCTTAATGAAGTGGTCTTGTCTGAGACCGCAAAGTGAACAGGTGATAATTGTAGTTTTTAAAGCAGGAGCCATTTTGATACGTTACAGGCGAAGGTGAAGCAGTAGCTGAGCGTGGAGCACAAGGAGAAGGGGGGAGAGGTAGGCAGGACCAGTTAGTTGTCATCACAGTGGAGACGTCAAAGTTGTATAGGCCTTCTGAACCTACGTCTACTATCATATTAGTCAGGGCTTCTTTCGTTCTACATGACTTCTGCTACTCGTAAATCCTACTGCGCTTCACGCTTGCTTCAATTAAGATCAATTACGGACAGGTCTTACATGAGCACGAGTATTTGTTTGGTTTGATAAACTTTGTAAATGCATTGTCATCTTGACGAACGTAATGAAATGCCAAATAGATATCTAAGCTAAGAAAACGGACGCAAGTGTTCTCTGGAATTAAGTGCTCTTTGCAAGGGGCACCCAACGACGGTTTCCTCCTAAATACATGGAAAATACTTTTTAGGCTATCCAGAGTGCTTTCTTAATAGATCTCTAGAAATACATTTTATATCTGTTTGGTCATCCAAGGGATGCTTTAGTCTTTTCGAAATTACCATGGCTTCTGTGTTATTTTTCCGAAAATTTTAGAACTTTTTAGCTGTCCTCAAATAATAGAAAATTTTAGACAAAATTTGCTTTTTCGAACAGATATTTTACAGAAAACCGTCGTTGGGTGTCCCTTCTATGCGTCAATAAGATACTTACGGTGTTGTTTTTAACCTTTTCATTTGCCTAAGATCATTTCACCACAATGTTTCATTGGTGACTGTAGTGACAGCGTTTAGCGGAAAGTTTTAAAACAATTCAGCATGATGGCGAGTCCTAGAGGGCTCAAACAAAGAAAATGAATAAAGTAACATGTTTGAGTCCTCCAAGACTCGCTATCGTGCTAAATATATCGAAAATGCTCCAATTAGTAACTGATAAGACTTAAAAACTTAGGCGGTGTACGAAAACGTTTTCTTCCGTTTTGAATGGGGCGTTTTTCAATCCTCTGCCCTGCCCTATCATACCTGCCGAGGCTGACCTTTTTTTTTTTTTTTTTCAAACGTAAACTGACAACATTGAAGTAGGTGGGTGCTCACTATAATTAAGAAGTAGGGCTTTACGTTGAGTTGGTCTTCTTACAGCATTATGAACCCGGTTTATGAAACGGACTTGAGATCTTTAGAATGTCGGCAAATTCTAAACTCTTTCCAGGTATGTCATTCTTGTTTTCTTAGAAAGGAGCTGGCCTATCAATCACTACAGCGTCTTTGTGTAATTCGTTAGCTCATTTCCATTAGAATTTTACGCCTCTGACTAGAGTTCTGTTATAAATAGCGTAGGTTAGCTGTTTTCTGGGCTAAAGCGCTCATCAAGTAACTTTGTTTAAGAGAAGAGGCTACTAGGTGAACAGGGTTAGGTGACTAACCCATAGCTTTTTTTCAATAGTGTACAAACGGCGGTTAAAAGGCGTTTTAAATTTAAAGCCTCTTCAAATTGTACAGAAGAATTCCACTGGTTGGATTCCCTTATTACCATTGAGGTATGAAAGACTCTTCCTTGCTGTGCTCGGTCATACAACCAAGTTCTTAAGAATGCTAATTGTGCCAGCTATCCTATTACAGGTTCAGTGATAGGTGTGAATGATTATTATATGGCAAAAGCAGCAAACGTCTGCCACGATTTTGAATACACACATAAGTCTAGTTGTATGGCATATCGCTCCAAGAGTTTCTCATAGATGTCCTGGAAGATCATAGGTCGGTGCGAATCCCGTTGGAATCCTCAGAACTGCTTGTGTGTGTCTTATTTTTTCATTATTATGAAATCACTTGAAGCAAATCATGTGGCTGAAAATTTACTTCTTCTTTTTAGCAGGAAGTAAACTTTTCATTCCGTATTTACTGGACTGATGTTTTCATATATATATATTTCAGCTATACACGAAGGACTTTTTACTTTTACCGTTGGTAACTAAGGTTCAATTATTTGAAAAGGCCCCAGTCCATTTACGGGTTGCGCCAAGTGAAAAAACTTAAGAGTGATTTTCTGTAAGATTCGAACTTTCGCCTGACACGGCATCTCATGGATTTGGCTGATTTTTGGCATGAAGTCTTAGAATGGTGCCCTAAATACTGAATGCATATTCTTTGGTTTGAATTCTCTTTCCTTTGGAAGATACAGAAATGACGGTTTGACGGGGCTTCCGGAGGGCCGCCATATTGGCCGATTTAGGGAGTTTTTAAAGCATTTATTTCGGCCTTGGCATAGAAATAAATTGTCCATTACTCGTACAGCTAAAAATAACTATCCTTTAACTTTGTATTTACGTACATTTAATTGAAAACGGTTCAGCATGAGCTTGGAACGGTTGAATTGTCTTACTACATATTTTCGGTACTCGGAATGCAGACAAATTTAGTAGAAATTGAAAAGTATATATCACCCATGCCACATCGAATTAGAACAAACCACCTTACCTGAATGGAGTTTGTTTATAGGCAAGTTAGACCGATGAATAAAAAAATTGGGCAAATGCCATGGAGAAGAAATATGTTAACATCAACCTGCAATGATTTCAGCCCGGCCATTGCCCGAGTTTGCCCTCAGTGACATTTACAAAGCAAATCGGTGAATTTTGCTCGAAAACTTCTTTAATGAATCTTGCCTCGTCAAGGTTATTATCTAACGCGAAATAAAACTTCACTTTTTATGGAAAAGAATGGTGAGTCTTTCCCGATTTTGCGTCTGTATTTTGCGAATATAAATATTACACACGTTTGATTCACTCACACGCAGTCATGTCATGCTTCATCATGTCCGCACTAGTTCAACATTATTTCCCACTATATCATACTGTTTGCAGTCAAATACATATAATAACCAATTTCGTCTGCAAATAAAGGTAACACAACCTTTGCAAAATTTTAGCAAACGCTAACTAGACTCAACAATGTATAAATACGGCTTTATGCAAATTCCTGCACAGTGTTCGGTACGAGGAACAATTTTCTAAAGCGGCTCTTCCCCTTCTAGTATATTTTTCCCGCCACTGGACTTAAAGCGTAATCAGTGAAAAGGATTCTACTAAGTGGTATGAGATTTAAAAAAAAAAACAGCTTATTAAGTCAACTTACGTGATGGTAACATCAGCACTGTATGAAAGTCCGTAAGTTATTGCGCACGACGAAACAATGATATCTTGGGAGAAAGAAATGCACGCTGGAACGCAAGCAGGAATGAACATCCTTTATCAGATGTCAACGTCTTCGTGGGCTGTCAGCTCTTCCCGTGCTTTCAGTTTGGAAAGAAGGTAAGTGATTGTTTTTTCTCTAACAATGACATTCAATTTCCCTTAATTTTCGACAAATCCGGTTATTTTATATCAACCTGGAATTCCAGAAAATCACAAGTCATCTTTTTCAACGAGGAAGTGCTGTCACCGGTTACGGTGAAATTTCACTTACGGGGGTTTTCATTAACGGTGTGAGATTAACTACAAGCCAAGTGAAATGCATGTTTAACCAAGTTTATTCCTTAACAGAAATATGGTCAGATGTGGGTATGCTAAATTTGTTAACGGGGTGGCTTGTGGAGTAACTATTGCATCAAGCGAGTGCTTGACGTTAAAGCAGTGTTCCAGAAACATCAAACCCCATTTAAGAGGACTGAAAGTGGTGGATAAAAATCTAAAGGACGAGATACAGTTACTTTTGGGGCGAGCAGGTAAGGAATGAATATTTTATTTTGATATAGTTAAGTACATTACTGAAAAATTTTAACACAAAATTGGCACGAGTCGAGCTAGCCCGGGGCGAGCGTAATTTGGCGCGAACATTCTAGGCGGGAAAATCACACCTTTCCAGGAGTAGCTGTTGTCAAAAAGAAATGATTTTACAAGTCTTGCGGAATATTTAGAGGCTAACTTTTACGAGTTTCTTCTGGTAAACGCCACGTGACTTATGTTCTGATCTTTTTAAAATCGGCGCACAGCGGCAAAAATGTTATTCCGGACTTGAGAGCCTTGGGTGCTCTTTGGCTGCGCGGTACCTCCCATGCGACACTACGGTTTAGTATGGAGGGATTTGTTGCGATTCTTATTCCTGGTATACAATGTTTGCGCTAGGCACTACGCAACCTAAAGTATAGTAGTGCCCATACCTAGCTAGTAAGTTTGAGCGTGAGAAAATAAGAATGATCGGGTGGAAGAAGGCGGTGGGGGGTGGAGGGCAACCAAAAAATCTTTCCGAGAACACGCCAGCAGATTAGCATTTCTCGTTCTAATTTTCAAAAGTGATCTGCAAAACCATTTGAACAACCTAATCTTCACCGACCGATTCCGTGGGTTAATATATTTATATATTCTTTTTACTATATTTTGTAGGTTTGTTTTCCTCAGAGGTAGAAGCTGAGAAAATAACAATCTGTCCCCGGCATCGCGATGTGTATGGAACTCGGTGGAAGTGCAACAAAAGACGATGTGTTATTCCCAGCGTCATTAGCGGTCATACCGGTATATCACCTCCAAAAGGTGACCGAGGAGTCACCTTTTTACAAGCAGAATCGATATTCAGTGTTTTGGGGGTACTAGTACCAATCGGAGTACGTAAGTATCACTAAATATAAGTAAAATTCTCAGTCAACGATACTTTAAGTACGCTAAGTTACTGCTTTAAGTTCGCTACGATCATTACGATCGTCAACGGCGCCCACCTTTATTCAGTGATTAAAGCTACATTTCTGTGATAAAACTGGCCTCTTCATTGAAATACTAGCTGGCTTTAGTAACTGTTCTAACATCTTGTTAAGTCATGAAGTCAATCCAAGGGTCTGGTACTTTAGAGCAATCGTCCTTTCTTTGCCACGTTTCGCTGTCGTTCGATTCCTCTTCAGTCATCCAAGAGAGAACAAGCAGTTTGCATGCAACGAAACAGTGCTCTGATTTAAGCATCGACGATTGCGATAGAAAGGAATGTGAAGGAATTTATAGTGATGCTGATGTTGATGACGGTGTTAGGGATCTTTCTAAATTCCATGCGGATGGCAACAGCATTGAGGGTAGCCTTTATAGTTGTAGTAAAGGCGATGACATCTGCAAAGTTCAAGTGCCCGGTGGCGTTGGTGATAGTGGTAGTAACGATTGTTCGTGTAGCGATGATAATTTTGGTTGCAATAACGTTGGTGATGAGAGAGATGTTGGCGTTGATATTAATAATCAGGAAGATGACGGCTGTGATTATGTTTGCACTCTGGCCGCTCCAAATGACACTGTTAGTGGTCGGGATGATAATGGTGATAGTGGCGGAAATAGTGGTGATAATGATGTTTGTTGTGGAGACACTAGTGGGACCGATTGTGGATATAAAGGCAACTCCCTGGTAAGCTACATTTGTTTTTCCAGTATCTGTTTCTATACGAGCTACATCTTACCAATTTGAAAAGCAATTGACTTTAACGAGTTGAAAATTGAGAAAATTTTAGCCTTTCTCCCCTGGTTACCAATGATTAAAATTTTTAAAACTAAAACAACTTTTTAATTAAATTTGCAGGTTCTTTCACCCATAGAAGCTGAGAGAAGAAAGTTACAAAAAGTCGAAAAAGAAAGAGTAAGTCTCGTTGCAGATGCGATGAGATCGCATGTGGTAGAATTTAGAAAAACTCAGTTGAACGAATTTCTTAAAAGTTCTGGCTTAGCTCCAGTTCGTAAGGTAGACATGGGATCACCAACAGCAGCAGAAAGAACAAGAAGAAGAAACATAGCTGAAGCATGCCAAGTTATGGTTGCTGTTTTGCGAGTACTGTCACCAAATTATCCCTGTGAACTGTGGCTAAACGTAAAGGACTCTAACGACATGTGTGAAGCTTTAGAAGTACGTAAAGAGGTTGCCTTAAGAGAAGATGACGTGAAGTATCTGCGAGCGCTTTCTGAATCATACAATAACGCCACAAGTGCAAATGTTAAACTGCAAATTCTTTCTATAATGGCGGATATCACCACGTTGCAAGAAATACGCAATTACATTCCAGGCCTAACAAAATATATGTTTTGTCAAGCAAGACAACATATTTTAGTTTCTGGGCGAGGAGCTCCTGTAATTGCAAAACAAAGCCCGAGATGGAGAATCGATCTTAACCAGTTGGATCACTTCTTGGATTTTATTACCAGTCCCTACATCGTGCAGGATTTACCATTCGGTGAACGGTTTCTGAAATTGTCAACTGGGGAAGTAGTGCAGACACCGAATGTTATCAGAGTATCGGTCAGCGGACACATCATTGACCAATACGTACAGTATTGCAACGAAACAGAGGTGAAACCTCTAAGCAACAGCACATTACGACGCATTTTATCCTCCTGTCAGGCATCTACGCGAAAGTCCTTACAAGGTCTCGATTACTTTGTTTGTGAGGGTAGCAAGGCCTTTGATGACTTGGAACAACTCATTGGGAACCTTGTTGACAGTGGGTTTGACGCACGTACAGCGCAAAACTTACAGATGAAGTTAAAGGAGGGAAAGAATTACGTTAAAACGGATTTCAAAGTAAGAACCTATGGTAATATAATTATTAAATGTGTAATTCCAGAAAATGTCCATACCCCCCCTCCCCCACGGAGGGCAACGGAAATTCTGAAGGGAGGTGGGTCCATAAGATAGCAACTTTTGAGGGGGTGGGGGTGGCAAGCTACTAGTTATTTTACTCTCAATCGGTGTTCCAAAACAAATTTTTTTTTTCATCGATGATCTTTTATTTGCAGTCGGCTGAGTGCTTTTTTACAGCTTGTACGATTTTATATAACAATTGTCGTCGGCTCGTGAATAAACGTCTGGTTATCTATGGGTTGCTTTGTTGCACAATATATCGCGGTATTCAATATAATGTGGTCATGTTGTATTAATAAGCTTTCTTCTAACACGTTTTTAACTGAAAAGAAGTAATTGAAGTTCATTGGTTTAAGAGAAGGAGATGACAAACACCCCTGAAATAGAGATTCCAGGGGTGCGGGTCTAAAACAAAAGTGCCCTCGGTGAGGGTATGGATATTTTTCTACCTACACAATCTACCATGTCTTTCGGCGCTCCTGATTTGAAGAAGAGTGTACTTTAAAGCACACTGTTTATAATGACGAGTGGGAGTGATACAGTGGGGAAAAGTTTTTTTTCATTTTTTTTATTGCGAATTATTTGCCAATCCGATCTGTCAAATGATGCGCTGTCAAAAATAACATTTTCGTCATTGTTTAGTGTCTCTGTCATATTTTATGTATATTCTCCAGAATAGTCTGGTCTCGCTTAATCTTGCTCTGAGACTATCTTGCTTCTACAATAGGTTCACGTTTCCAGCTCTTCGCGCGTGTCAGATCACTGTAGCCAATATGCACTAAGTGACAGTAAAGATCCTGCTTTTAGAGGTACCTGCACTCAAGATCATGACCTGATATGCAATCGCTGTGAAGACCTTAAAAGCTGTTCTGTCCGACACCCAAAAGTCAATTCAGGAATCCTGCTTCGAGTGCCAGTATGATAAGGAGGATGCTCTTCACAGATTTCAAGAAGCAACTCGAGCAATTCAGCTCTGGAAGTCACACCAACTCAGACTTGTTAATCAGGATAATGCCCGTATAGAAGTCATTGAATGCCTCGATGACAGCAAAGTGCTCCTTGTACAAGACTGGGCTATGAAATTTCTCCCTCGTCAGTACCGAGAATCCCAAGGAGAATGGTTTGCGAAAAAAGGGATCTCCTGGCACATCACTGTAGCGATCAGAAAGAAAGAGAGTGAACTTGAAACACAGGCGTTCGTGCATGTAGTTGAGAAGTGTATCCAGGACAGCCCTTGTGTTGTCCAGTTAATGGAACATGTTCTTTCTACTCTCAAGAGGGAACACCCTGAGATCAAAAGCGCCTTTTATCGCCAAGACAATGCAGGCTGCTACCATGCAGCCAACACCATCCTTGCCTGTAAAGACATCAGCCAGCGATCGGGAATCTTCATTCAACAATTAGACTTCTCCGATCCACAAGGAGGAAAGGGCGCTTGTGACCGTTTTGCAGCAACGATGAAAAACCATGTACGCTCTTTTGTTAACGAAGGTAACGACGTCCTTACAGCAGAGCAGTTTCTTTCTGCACTTACCTCACGAGGTGGAGTGTCTGGAGCCCGAGTGTCTCTGGTACAAGGCAACAGTTCTAGTAAAACCAATGTAAAGTGGCCAGGAATCAGCAAGCTGAACAATTTTGAGTTTAGCAGTGATGGAGTGAGGGTATGGCGAGCTTATCAAGTTGGCGAAGGAAAGTTTTTCCCTTGGTCAGAATTTGAAGGTACTTTTTATCCTCTCTATCTATCTCTCTCACTAACTCTCCCTCTCCCCTACTGCTACTCTCCTCCACCCCCCAAAAAAAAGACTTTGCTTCAATCGTTTGAAAATTGGTGTTTGGCTTTTTTTATTACAGTGGGCACTGTTTGATATTAACTATTTTATGCTTCAGGAAAGGAATATCCTATCAGTTCAATGACGAATGCCACGTTTTCAAATGGAGACTTTCGCCCCATAAAAACCCGAAAAAAGAAACACGAAGTTCAGCAGGAGACGTTAGCCGACGTCGACTGTGAAGAAGAAGAAGAGGAGACTGAGGGGACCGCCTCTGGGAGATTGTTTTCTTGTCCAAACGAAGGGTGCGTTCGTGTCTATACCCGTTACGGATCTATGGTCAATCATGTTACCTACGGAAAATGCGACTTCAGAGAAGAAAGAGAATCTGTGATGGACACTGCAAAGGTCTTGTACAGTAAAAAGCTTTGGGTCAGTGATGGTCGTATTTCAGCTACAGCAAACGTCCATTGCAATCAAGCAACATCAAGCAGTTTACACCAGAACGAAGAAGAAGGCTGGGCACTGAAATCGATCAAGAAAAACAAACCTTTCAGTGACAAACAGAAAAAATTCCTAGAAGAAAAGTTCATGGTTGGCGAAACGACGGGAAGAAAGTTGGACCCTGTAACTGTAGCCGCCAGAGAAATGAAAACTGCTCGCCAAGATGGTAACGGAGAGAGACTTTTTTCTTCTTCAGAAGTATTGACCGCGACCCAGATTCAAAGTTTTTTCTCTAGAAGGGCAAGATGTGGGAGATTTTCCGAAAATGACCCAGAAAATCAGGAAGCTGTCCAAGTGGAAGAAGAACTTGAAGACTTTCGGAGAGATGTAATAGAGCAAGTGCAACCCAGACATCCAATCATGTATGATGTCCACAACTTGTGTGATCTTGTAGCTTCAGGGAAACTAAAGAAACTCACATTACCGAAGCTGAAGGAAATCTGTAGCGCTTTTGAGCTGAATCTTCCTGAGGAACGGAAGAAAGCCCCTTTTCTAGATGCTTTGACCAAATTAGTTAAGAATTGCTCGTGTTGGTCCTCTTGAATGACAAATTGTATCAAATCTCCACAAATGTGATTAAGTCAAAGCATAGCAGTCCCTTTACATGTAAGTTGTACAATGAGGTTACAATAAGCTTGGACTTAAGGGAGTACTCCTGTTTTTTGTTTTTTTTTGGAGAGGGAGGGGGGGTGAGGGGTGATAGAGGTATATACATTTGCCAGTTAGTTCTCTAATAGGCTCAGAGGCACCTTGTTGTAGTGGTGGGCTATCTGGCATTTGTCTTCTTATTATTCACTTCATATCTCAACAACCCTCAAATCCTGTATTTTCCAATTTTCCTGAAATGTTTAACACCCCCTCCCTCAATTTTCATACATTAAAACCCTTCGAAAAGTTATTCAAAAATTTTTAACTTTTTGAACATAGGAATCTGAACGATTATTGATTCATTTTTTGAATGAATGAAAACCAGCACTTTAAACCAGAGCCCCCATAGGCTACCTTGAATCCATTTTTAATAATCCTTTATCTCGCGAGGAAAAAAGCGAAAAAAAAGTTAGTTGAGGGGAGACTGGTGAGAAGGCCCTGCCGAGAATCGGTTCGTGCTGTCTTGTCTGTGCTTTTCTTAGGCTATTTATGTTCACACTATACCGAGTATCTCTTCATGCTGACACGAAAAGCTATCTGGAAAAGTATGAATACCTATCCGATATGTGACACTCCACTTTATAATTTGGCGCAGCAAAGCGCTTCGCTCCGTTACAGAAATCGCGCTGAAATCACTGTTCTAATGCGTGAGCAAAATTCCTATCCATATTTTTATCGTGTCGGCGCAAAAGGTATCTAGTGTGAACATAGCTTTAGCTTTAGGTGTGTAACAAGGTCCGGGCGTTCAGTGAGAGGAGCGCCCTTGGCTGATTTTTGTCCTTACATCTCTGTGTCGTCCCTCTAATCTGAAAGCCTGGAACAGACTATTTCAGGGTGAAAAATTAGAAAGTAATGGCAGTAACCACTTGTTAGGAATGAGGCTACCATCCATAGTAAAAAAAAGTAGTTTATGATTTCTCGATTGATACATGTATTTTGTCGAACGACCCGTAACTGATTGATTATGACAGGGTTGAGGAGATTTCAGTACCTCTGGTATCTACCTAGCTCAGTGAGGCTTCCTGATCCATAAATATGTAGGGGAGGGGTGTGTGAAGTAAAAGTAAAGAGAGCGTAACAACGTGCGGGAAACTAAGGTGTCGTTGCAAAGATTAAAAATAAAAGGTAAAGCATCACAAATTATGTTACATGACTTCAGGCCTTTTTTAAAAATTTCTATTTCATGTATCGATGTTGACCTACCCCGAGTCGTCCTTGGGGGGGGGGGGGCGTGTTAGTAATTTGGGGCGCAAGAAAATCTGAGACTCTTTTCGTTGCTTTTGTAGGTTAAGTAATGCAATTTTTCACTAAGTATAAATGTCCAAAATGATTACAAATAATTTTTCTTGGAGAATTGCTGAAAACCCTAACATTTTCATAAGAAACTTCGAGCCACGATTTGGGCTGAACGATTCAAAGAACTGTACCTTTGCCACGCCCAATGTGTGAAAACCGGAAATAGTGATGTTCATTTCAGACCCTAAATAGTGATGCTCATTTCTTAGAGCGGGAGCGTCAAGAATATAGGAAAGGAAGTGTAGAGTTAAAGGAAAGTTGATTCCCATCTCACACCACAAGGCAAGTGGTTTTATTTAGCTTTAATATCTTCAAAAACTAATTATCTGGTTTTGATTTGAGCATGATAATCTATTGCGAGCAGTTGTTGTTAGGTGTTGTTGTTCCGGCTGCTCGAAAGCAGGAGTTGTAACGCCATGCAAAACTCAGTTGAACGTGACTACCGACGTTTCGCAGAGAAAATGCCGTTTTGAGATATCTCTGAATGTGGAAATTGTACATCTTTATATATTTTGTTTCAATTTTTCTCCTTTGTGATATCTTTCAAAAGTTTTAGTTTTGGGAAAATTACGATTTAGTTCCCACGTGGGGACGGTACCCGTAAATGCACAAGCAACACATTTATATTTATAGTTTACCATTCCGCTGATAAAATCCGCCTTTGTGCAGTGTTTCTGACAGCAATTCTGTCACTGCCATTAAAGAGGCCATTTTTGATCTACTTTTTACTCAGATTTGGACAGAAATTCTTTTATTTATCACTATTTTTGGCAACATCAGTGAGCATTTGTGTGTAATTTAATTAGCCAAGCGACTAGAACTTGCTGCCCATTTAATAAATTTCTTTCTGTCGCGTTGCATTTGCCCAATTTTTTTATTAACGAATTCGATTTGGCTACAAACAGTCAGTATTTAGGCAAAGCAGCAAGTTTCAATCCTGTGTGGCAAGGGAGATATACGCCTTTGGAATGTTGGTAATTTTGAGAGCATAAATTATGCAAAAAGTGTGCACGACCGAAAGTTGAGCCAGTCTGAGCGAAAACGCTGCTATGTACGGAGTAAACTTCAAAATTATAATAAGGAAGGATAGTTTTTGACATGTATCTCATCAGTGATAGAATTGCTTCAAAGACAGGCTTGTAGTTGGATTCGTAAAACCTCCTTCGATTTAACCAATATGGCGCGGGGCCGAAGGTTCCCCAAAACGGTCAAGTTGGTAATTTTCAAAGTAAGAAGATTTAGAACCTAAAAGTATTCATTTCTTATTTAAGACCCAAAACCAACTTTACATGCTAATTTTCAGCCAATTCGGTGAGATAGCGTGGCAGCGACTTTTCAATATAGTTCGAATCTTACAGACAATTGCTCTTAAATGTGAAAGGAACTTTCTATATTATCATTAAAAAAATCATTTTCATAACGAGGACTGTTTCTGCACTTGGCCGCGTTTTGAAAGCAAGGGTTTTTGGAAGTTGGTAAAGGCCAAGTAAAGGCCTATTGACAGCCAGTATCAAGCGTTTCTGGAGGAAAAAGGAGAAAAGAGAAGTGAAAATCTTCTCTCTCGTAGCCCCTTAGAAAAGCCTGATATTCGGTCTAGCCTATTGAAAGACCAGTGTATAAGTGTCATATTTTGTAGCTGATATTTTCAATAATGAAACCGTAGTTTAACCCGTCTAATCTTTGTTCAAACATGATCCGGCCCTAAAGTTTTAATGTGTACACTTTTAGCTCGTACCCAGATCGCACTCTGTCTTTGCAAGGATGCGCCTTACATAAAGACGGTCAGCAGGTGCGTGAACCGCGTCCACCGATCAAGGAACGCTCATGTTGCGTGTTATTCATGCTTGCGCACTACAAAAGCGCCTCTTGGAACGTCTAAGGAACTGACTGAAACAACTACAAACCAGGGCGGTTAAAGAAACTTTCCATTTATTTTTCAGTGTAGCCTTTTTCCATATAAAATAGTGAGATAAAATAGTTCTGGTGCTTTATTGTTTGGTTGAATTGTTTTTTTGTTGCACGTAATCTGTGCCTTGGTACCCGCAGAAGGAACCTTTTAGAGGGGGTACCCATATCTCTTTTATGACCCTTTGTCTCGCCGTCGTATTGCGGAGAAAGCCATGACTCTCTGGGTATTTACCTTTATGATGCTTGGACAGTACGACTCGATCCGATAGCTCCTAGGTGACGGTAGTCCAAGCCAATTCTGTTCCGATCGAGACTTTGTGAATATCGGTGACATAGCGTTTTTGTTTCGTGGAATTCAAGGAAAGGCCGGGCTTTTTTTTTCAATTACGCTTTCAGTCGTCATTTACTCAACCATGCCAAAACGAGTACATAAATCAAGAGCGCAGGAAAAGTCCTTAACGCACTGAGCGCTACAGACTTTGAGGTAGGTATTTTCATTCAACCAGCCTTTGTCTATCATAAAGAGAAAAGATAATTTTTTTTATTCAGGCACCGACAGTTTTAAAACCAGGAACATTATTTTATATAGATAATTATGCTGCAGATGCTATTGGAATGACTCGTTTTGGACTACTCGTTATCGGTGCCTTATCTCGACACCAAAAATGTACAAATTAAGGTGACTGTTTATATGAGACATTTTGGCCGGAAATCTGTTCTAACTATTCGGCATTCAGTTCTGAATTTTTAATATGGCTTTTGCTTCTTAGAATGCAGGGAAAGTCCCAAACTTTTCCACATCGGCTAAACCCGGGCACGAAAGGACGGCTGACTTCGAGGTAAGTAGTTTGGCGGTTTATAAAAATAAACTCATCTCAGCTTAACTATTTCTATTTGACATATCTTACTTGAGATTTCGCACTATTGCGAGTGTGCTTAATAGACTCTCACTCATAATGACTCGACCTCGATTCGTGTGGTTTCAAAAGTTCGAAGCAACTCTTTGAAAAACACATACAATGAAATCGTTTTGCCTTTACGAAATAGATTCCCTTATATAGAAAAGATTATAAATATTCCCAGTTGATACAGACATGAAACGGCGGGCAGGTGTTGAAATTAAGAAAAAAAACCTTACGTCTCTTTCATGCATGTTAATTGACCTGCGTATTCTTTCTTGGTATCGTTATAGTACGAGGCTACTTCACTGTTCTCTTAGAGATGGATCCTAATAAGCTTTGTTAGTATAGCATGCATATTACGTATTACAAACCTAAATCATTTCCGTCGGTTTTTCCAAATGTTGGTATTGGAGCATGTTAGTCCGATCCTCTTCACTTTCTTGGAAAGCAAATAAACCGTTCCAAATGTCGTTCGTTTTGTAGGGTTAATATTGGTGTAGCCTGTTCCAGGCTCCGAGATGGTGGTGGAAAGTCGTTCAGTAAAAAGAAATGCGAAAAACACGCGGGGGCTGGGGAGAGACAGGGCGGCGCCGCCACCGCCCCTTTTCCCAAGTCGTGCGCGTCTTATTTTCGCTTTGCTCGTCTTAATACGTTCCCACTATACTATCTGAGAGCCTGGCACAACCGCCGCCTGGTTAGCTCAGTTGGGAGAGCGCCGGTCCGCTGAGCGGGAGGTCGCGGGTTCAAACCCCAGCCGGACCAACACTTAGGGTCTTTAAATAACTGAAA